AGTATCTGAAGGAGAGATTTACAGCTTCAATGTAACAGATGGAGGAGTTTATTACTGTGTGGCCACTAATGATCTGGGTAATCAGACATCAGCAGAGATTAACATGACTGTTGGAGGTAAAGTTACTCAGCATTTAGCTGTTTTTTATTTTTTAAATCATTTTTTGAGGTATTTCTTAAAAGTGAGTTGAAAAGGAAGCAAATTTAGCTTTATGAAGTTCAAATCTTGTAATTTATCCTACAACGTGGCTGTTCATCTGTTAGACTTGAAAACTATTTTTTCACCTAAAACAATTTTATTTACTGTTTTCTGCATTACAGGTGGAAACCTGGTTGGTTTCTACACTATAGTGAAGACTGTTGGAATCATAATGCTCATGAGCACACTGATCTTATTTGAGTGGTGAGAAAAATGTTTCTGTGACACACGCATTTGAAACCAACTAACTCATCGTAAAATAACATAATTCAGTCTTTCTGGTTTCTTTGATTTGATTCTGTTTTTTCCCTTCAGCTGGTTCAGATCAAGACGCTCCAACAAACCAGATACTGAAAGCTGTCAGATGAACAGAGTCACATCACAACACATCAACTAAAGTTTCCACAGGAGGGAAAACTCCACCTTCAATTATCACTTAATTCCCTTCAGTGACTTTCAACAGTTGTACATGACCATTTTACTTTGAATGTAGAGATGCTGTTGCGGAAATCGAAACATTTACTTTGTGGATAATTTCATATCATTCCTTCGCTGCCCTGAGTCTGTTAAACAGGGGCTGCTTCAGTCTGACCATCTTATTTTTTTATAGTGTATCCATGAATATTGATCTAACACCACACTTCTGTAAGACTGATCCAGCATAATGTGTGGAGATCCATCCAATTTTACACTGTATTACAGGTACAGCTGTGTTCTTGCTATTACTATAGAATCGATTTTAAGGTTTTACTATTTGTTTTTAAAGCTCTCCATGGTTTGGCTCCAGGTTACATTTCAGATCTTCTTAGCCTCCACTTACCCACTCGATCTCTGCTCTCCTCCAGTCAGATGGTTTTATCAGCTCAAATCTAGAGGGGACAGGGCTTTCTCCATTGCCGTCCCGAGACTCTGGAATAGTCTTCCCCCCTTCATAAAATTCTCTTCATCCTTGGAAGTCTTTAAATCGATTCTCAAGACCTACTTATTTTCCAAGGCTTTCGGATCTCTTTGATATCTTTTTTTATTCTGTCTATTTGGTCTCTTATATTATGGATGGTGTTGTATGTGTATATGCGTTATATTCACATATGTGTGCTTGTGTGTGAATGTGTACAGTTTTGTATATGTATGTGCATATTTGCATGTACATTATATGTTATATACTCTTACATGTCTTACAATTCTTTTTTAAAATGTTTTCTTTCTATTTCAATTCTTTTATTATATTATCCCTCTGTTCAGCACTTTGGCCGACACTTGATGTCTT